TATGTTAGATTGGATTGTTACATTGATGGCATGATAAAACAGGCTAAAACGATTTAATACGCACGTTCGCATTAAGTAAAAAAACTGCAATGAGCGTATTGCGAAAAAAGATCGAGAAAGCAAAATTCAATTTGATTTGCTCTGGTTTAATGTTTGTATTCACAGTTGATTAAGTTTCACTCTTCTCGACATTGCATCACCCATTAAAAGTATGATAAGAGAAGTGAAGGGTATGGCTATGCCGATGTCATTGTTGAGAATTGTCAACAAATTTTCATGAGGTCGAGGATGTGAAAGAGAAAGTAAACTCGTAAGGATGACTTTATAACTGACGAAAAGATCTTCAAATTCGCACTTTCAAAGAATCGATGGGTTCTATTGAAAAGAAAATGGTTGAATTAACTGTAGGTTTCAAATCCGATCAACAGAATGAAAACATTAACTACAAAACACAAAAATAATATTTTTTCTTTTATTTATTAATTATTTTAATAAAGTTCATTTGACTAGATACATGAGCATTCTTTGTTGATGGCATGAAGATAATATCTGAACAACATTTCGATAATTTCTTATAAATCCAATAGAAATAACGATACATTCCTTCAATGTGTTGAGAATTGTAGTACAGAAACTAAGTATTGATTACATGAGCGATGCGCAGTTTATCCTCTTGTTTTGAAACAATTAGGATTAAAAAAATAGAAGAGTTAATATTATGTGTTTTTTTTGTAAATAAAGAAATGGAACTGACATACGAAACTACTAATATACAAGGCTTTCAGTCATTGCCTCTATAATATCGACGAATGTAATTTAAATAAGACTCAAGTATTATTAATTTGTTTTTATCTAATGAGGTTTCATACTTATCTTGAATAGACTTTAGTCGTATATGGTTGATAATGTGAAATGTCATATCAAATTCAATTAATTTCTAAGCTCAACCTGCATTTGTAGAAATGTAATACGAGGACTGTGAATAAAGATGCTATTGACAATTCAAATAGTTTTCTTGTTGACATTTTGAATCATGATCAATTGTTTTATTTTCTATCTTTAAAACGATAAATTTCGTTCAAAAACCTTAGTTGATGATAAGGTATACTGCTTTCATAAATTGTCATTAGATTTTCATGCATGCTCGTTGACCATTAGTTATCTAGAATAAAGAACTTTGTTCAATGAACAGTCATCAAGTCTTGAGTTCATTATCAGTGTCCCTAGAATAGACAAGAAAGTATTATCAGTTTATTATTTTAGCCTTTCATTGAATGGTATTCATGGTATCCATAGATAAATATTGTGGATGTGATCCACAGACAACAATAATGATACATTATTCAATATTGTAGCTTTTCTTAACTAGATGTGTCAGGAAATTTATTGAATACCTTATACATTTCACGTCATGTTTTCATTGGCATATTCTGTTTCGAATGTTTGAAATTTTTCAGTCTTTTTTTTTTAGGAGACAAATGTTACTATTTCAATTCATCATACGGTATCGTGATTAAGTTGAAATTTGTAAAATTTTTACTTGACATTAATGTCTGAGCGGTTAGATTATTTATACATTAGCCGAAAAAAGAAAATGTCAGCATATATTTTTTGTTAATCGCATTGTTCGCTATGCAAAGACGAACAAGAAAAACGTTAGATTTTCGATAATCCTCAGATAATAAAGAAAACTGATAAAGAATCAACAAGATACTGTACAAGAAAATGAAGAAAACAATCTGATCAATTTATCAAAGACGACAGCATTGAACGAATAAATAAAATAATTTTGTTCGTTTATTCTTTAACATTCAAAAGAATGGGGACTCGAAATAGAAATTTTATTCAAGTAGTTATCTGATATTCAAACACAAAAATTTATTTAGTGATACTATACACGAAAATACAATTATCAAAATGATTTCATAATCATCTGATAACCTAGCGAAACTTAATTTGCGATTTACCGGGTGGCAGTGACGCATCCAGAGGGGGGGATTGTGAGGATTGATCCCCTCCGGAAAAAAATTTCGCTATTAATTTGCATGGCCATTGTTTTTTAAATATTAGAAAAACATTTTCTGAAAATAGATATCTTTTTGAACTAACTATGTGTTTATCAATTAGTGTAAACTGTTTTTTTGTACTGATTCTTTGATTGTAAAGATTATTTCGAATTAAATATATTGTGTATATAATCACACGTATTTTCTTCTACGTCACGATTTATATGTAATATAAAACATTTTTTGATCAAAGCATTGAAAATAATGAGTAAAAAATAGAAAGATATTAGTGCATATTTTGTATCAAACAAGTGATCTAAAGGTGATGTTGATAAAGGGTGTGGGTGTGGGTGTGGGTGTGGGTGTGGGTTGTATCTCTTGTGATAATTGACACTCATACCTTACACCCGACGGCCACATCGACACCCACACACACTCAGCTAGCCCACGCCCAAAGTCACCCATACTCCGCACCCATGCACATCTAAACATACACCCACACCCACACTCAATAAAGATACACCACACCATCATTTATACTAAATCCGGAAACAAGAATCGTAGAAAAGCTTTCAGAACCAGTCTTTTAATAATATTGTTAGATGGCGTCAGTTCTCGGGCATCATCTTTTTCTTCCTGTCATCGTTGTGACGTTATCATATATATATGTATTCCATCTATATGATTCTTTCATTCTGTTGTCATGCATGAATAGGTATATGTTCTCTGTTCCAGTATGTTCCAGCGTATTCGTTCTCTCTCTCTCTATTGATTTTGTATATTCTCACTAGTACTCTTGTGTGAGTTCTGAAATTCTTGGTACCTTCAACTACATTCTTTTTGTTCCGACCCTATGTATATATATACCTCTCCGCTCGCAACAATAGAGCTGATTGTACATACACATTAAGATAAATGTCTCTCTGACTTACAACTGATTAGTGGTTGACTACCTTCACATTGGTGCACTGGCCAACTGTTTGTCAATTCAACATCAGAAACAACGTCAGATATTGGTAAGCAACCAAACTACCAAACTGGTTACTAAGCGCAACACCTCCGAAGAACATGCTCAAGCAAATCGTCGACTGTACGAAGAGAAACTATAATAGTAATGAAATAATCAAGTGAAAAAAATATTCCCTGATAAAGATATTGAAGACCGAAAAAGCAAAAGAACATATTGATGGTGGCGCCACCTATCATACAACTTGTTAGGCTCGTAATTCTAAAACTGAACAGCAATGGCACGAATCCTTTCAGTTCTTTTATGTACATAACTAGCTCTAGCTACCAGCAAAATCTCGAGTCGAATGGTTGGTATCACTTGGAAATGTTCCCTCGTAAGTCACCTAGGGTCATTCCTTGAGATCCCGCGCCAATTTTTTATAGAGTTGTAGACCAAAGAGAGGACTTCCAACTTCTATAGGCCAGCTCTCATGCTGCCACATTTCTTGGTAGATAGCATTTCCTAAGAATCCCGATTTTCATCTGAAACCCATTTTTGAGAGGATTCTCCTGACCAAATGGAACAATGTGCAGAGCTGAAATTTTCAGAAAACATACATCTCTAAGTACTCTATCTACAGTAACAATTTCAGATCTCTATCTCATTCCAATCACAACTTATGAAGTACCAAAATTGTCAAAAATGACGATTTTCGCATATATTGAACGGTTCATAAAATCCCAACAGCTCAATATTTTGAGACAAAAAGTTTTTGATGAATAGGACCCATCGACATATATGTTCACAGAAAATTTCAGCTCAATCAGTTGAGCCTTTCTTGAGATATGGCTCCATCAGGACCCCCATTGGTTGAACTGGTCATTTTGAGGACTTTGTCTTAAAATGCCCATAAAAATATCGAGGGTTCAATATTTTTTAAAACGGCTTGCGTTACAATTGTTAAAATTCTTCCCTCTACAATATATCTTAAATTGAGCAAAATCTGACGACGTCGATTGAGCAAGTTCGGTCGTGACTTATATGGACTGGCGCATATAACGTGAATGGGAGAAAAAACTAACTTTTAATCAAAAGTGCTTTACTTTTCTCAAGGGACAAAATTGTGAGATATCCTAGGTGGTAGACCTTGATGAGCTCTATCACCGGTAGAAATAACACAGCGATTGGTTGTTGGGACATAACATGCGATTGAGAGACATTTTGGTAAAGAAACATAGAAAAAGGGTAAGAAAGACTTTTTTAATGGTATTTCAGAAGTTCTTATAGAATTGACGAAAACATCTGAAATTTTGTATGCAGAAGAACAATACCTCGATAGTAATAGTTAGAAAAACGAAAAGTCAAAAGTCTCAAAATTTGAAATGAGAAAGTCACTTTTACTGAATAAAACCAGCTGAAAATTAATTAAAAGATAATAAAAAATTTATACTAAAAATTTCGTTAGTATTTCGACCGTTTGTACAGGAAAAAGTTATCAGATCGAGCTGAAAATTTCAGAGAATACTAGACTCACTACCATCTATAACATAAAAAAATCAGCGAATTCTGGGATATCACTCCATCGTCGATGTCTGAGTCTCTCAGACACCTACTCTTAAAAGACACAAAGTGTAGTCTGCTTGATAGATCGTTATAGTTTGTTTACAAATAACTATTCATTTATTGAATAATATCAATTTCATATTCATTACATACAGTAATCTTTCAAAGCCAATATACAAACATATATATATACAAATAGGTTTGCACGATTTACTTTCCATTGATTATTTAGACAAAACAAAAAAAGAGCAAATGAGTAGCTATGGCGATAAACGATGTATTTTTAGCACAACACAGAATTACAATGAATATATGTACAAATAGAAAAAACACAAAAAAGAGATCAGCCTCATCCTTGTCCTCACTCCTAACCTTGGGAGTATGAGCCGAACAACATAATTATTCAATCATAGCAACTAATATTCAACGGAAAGTAAATCCTGCACTCGATACAAATACGATAAACAAATATAAACAATGATTTACACGATAAGAATTGATTGATTTATAAGAGAATCAGTAACTTGTTGATGAGAATGATGATTCGGCATAATAACAATACGAACTTTTTTAAATCCTTTTGTTACAGATTGAGATAATTTATCCTAAATATCAAAAAAATAAAATAGTATAGAAATAGGTATAAGTAACTGTATTAAATAAAAAGAAGCATCTATCTACAGGACAACAATTTTGAATAGTCGAAAATAAACAATATTTTTTTTATTTGAATTTTCTAGAATTCTAATAAAAATTACTTCTACATATGGTTTGTAAACAAACTAAGAATTTCTCAACAGTACAGTCTATCAAAATAAATTATTTATGCAGTGGAATAGGATGCAATCGTTGCATATAAATTCTAATCATAGGAACTATTGGAAAGTTTTGTTGTAAAAATTGATCAAATGAGAAAAACTTGTACTAAAAAAAAAATAAAGTGTTTAAGTACATTAAATCCCTTCAGACTTGTAAACAATCAATACATTTGAAAATTCATCTTTACAAATTGCATTATTCAAATAGATTTGCTCTTACAAAGAAATTATTGAAACAATTCAGTGTTTTTCTTTTGTTTTTTGAAAGAGCTTTTCAACAGATTTCTTGAGCTATATATATGTGGCTTTGGAACTTAAATTGTCAAAGTTTTATGACGAAAATAAGGTGAGAGTAGTTTTTTTTTACATCTCTCCAGTAGCATAGCCAAAAATTTTCTAAAGGAAGTACCCGCCAGCAGAGGAATCCCTGAACCTGTGAATAAGTTTACAAGCTTACATATGTAGATTACAAAAAAGAAATAAAAGAAGATATGGAAGATACAAATTAATATAATTTAGAGTAATAAATTTTAGTTTTAGTTTCAGTTTTAAGAAGAATTCATTATAAAAACTGTATAGTAAGATTACTTACATGCCAATTTGTAATCCTATTGATTCGACTTGTTACTAATGTGGTAACAAGATGAGTGCGAAAATTGATGCAGCATTTCAATGTGGTGCATATTATATACATGTCGAACATGAAAAATGCCAGAAAAATTGGTAAACCACCAAATCGAGTAAGAAATGTTGCATTAGCAGGTGCAAACTATAATATAATAGATAGAAATATATATAATTATTACTCCTTATAGAATCTAATGATAGAGTAGCTGAAAAACTGTCAGATACAGAATAGAATTTTTTAAGTTTCACGATCAAAGGATGTATGAGAACAGCTAAAAGAATGTTACAAAAAAAAATTCTATATCATATACTTACTAGTCCATGAATAGTATAATACATACTGCATAATGTCATACCAATAAGCATTAAAGTTCCAATAGCGATCATTATCAAATCATATACCTGTTATAAACAAAAAACAAAAGAATAGAAAAGAAGTTCAATTCTCTACTTTTTCTTTAAGAATAAAGATCATTTAATTTTAATTGAAGTGTATATATTAGAATATAGATGAGCAAAAATAATTTTGACTTCACTTATATAAATCAACTTGATAGTGCATCATACTATATAGATAACCAGTAAGGATAAATTTTAAGTATAACAGTTAATCTTAATGAAGTCAGTAAAAAGAAAAGGAAAGAATTATTCAGAGATTTTCATGCTAAGAAAAATTAATAGTGTCAAGGAATCGATCCTTATTATAAAGAACTTTGAGCCGGGCCGGTCTTCTGTTCAGAACCGCAGCTAGATTAGCTGTAGGAAAAATATTGAACTTTCGAAACTGTCTCCGAACAGCACCCTACACCACAAGATAGTCTTCTTCTTCATAGAGTTATACGATATGTATCAGACTGAAAAATTTGTGTGAAGAGAGATTTATAGCATTTATAAAATGTATCTTGTTTCTAAATGCAATATATGTTCACAATATTCATATCCGTGATATTTATTATCATATTTCAAATGATAGATCTATAAGTAACTGTTTAGATACAATCTTATATCCAAAAACATGACATTACAAATTATCGTAACCATACAAAATTTTTTTTCTCTAAAACATTTTCATAGCAGTCTCTAACAATCAATATGAGTATTAAAGTGAATATCCTACATTCTTTTAGTCTGCGAGAAAAAAATGTATATAGACATATACACTTGTTACGATGAATATCAGTCAATAGCTAGCAGAAAGAAGATTTTGAGCAATGTTTTTTTTTAAAAAATGAATAGACGAAAAGAAAATAACATACGCTATATTTACCACCATATGGTGGCGATTGTCGTTGAGGTAATGGTGAGATGTTTGATTCAAATTTTTGTTCATTATTATTGTTCTTTGAAGTAAACATCGTAATAGAGGAAATATAAAGAGTTTTTATTTGAAATCTAAATATTAACTAATAAATCAAACAGAAAAAGTTGTAGTCATTATTATAAAGATATAATAAATGAATTAATACACTCTCTGTCTTATTGTATTCATAAGTATTTTATATTTTGTTTTGACCATGAATAACTAAAAAATTGTCATATAAATACAGATGTAAGCCGATGAATGAATGAATTAATCATAGTTGGGAGATATTAAACTATGCAGAAATGGCCGCACATGAAAAGTTTGAAGCTAAAAAATTCTTGTGATAATGAGAAATAACTTCTAATTCAATATCTGAATATTGATCTTATAAAAGTAATATGTAAATATAACTTCATGTATTTAAAATACATGAAAATAAATGAAACTCAGAAGCAGAGGTGCAGAATCTTCCTCGTGCGCCCCCGCGCGGGGGGGGGGGGGTTTTTTGAAAAACTGCATTACTCGGGGAAATTTTGCAATAATTGTCAGACTGGAGAAATTTGGAAAATTGTCAGACTGGGGAAATTTTGGAAAAAAACTATTAGAAGGAAAAACCTTGTTCTCGTCATAACTAACTGTTACAGGATATAATTCATTACTTTGAGTTTTTTGCATCACTTGTATGCTCTGTTCTTGATCTTGCCAAGAACACACGCATTGCTGTCGAAGTATAACTTCTTAGCAATTTTTTTCCACAGCTTTGCACCCTTTTATCACTTGTTGAACTATATCATGGTTGAAAGAAGGAATGTTAAGAATTTGTCCAACACGGATAATTCTATTATATATTAGTTCTTTTTCTATATGTTGTGTTGGTTTTTTCCCTTTCTCGTGTCTATGTCTATCTATATATACATGTACACCTATTGTTCAGGTAGAGATATCTGAGACATATACACATGTTGGAAATATCCAGGCAACACATCTAGATTTTTCCCAACATTGTTACAATCTCCTTCTTTATTTCTCTTGATGATCCTTGCATCCAAACAAAAAAGAACAATCGAATGAATCCAAAAAAACAAAAAAAGAAGCAAAGAATGTTGTTCTCTCTTTCTCTCTTCTTCTATGATATGCCTTCTTGTTTATTTTTCAAAACGAAGAGATATCATGGAGCGACGAAAAGGAATGCCATTATCGACAGTCGTAATGTTACAGAGAGAGCCCTCTTATGTCAGGAGATGTCTCTCCTGAAATAACAAACATGTTATGTATATTCTATGTTGAAATTTCCCTACATTCTTATATTCGTCACGTAGTTGGTTTTTTCCAGCTTGTTCACATATATAGGTATGTTCGTATTTCTGTTGCCGTTCTGTTCGCTCGGTCACTTATTACTTATGTACAAAAAAAATCGAAAAAAAAATCAGCTTTAGAGAGGTCAAAATTGATTAAAAATCGATTAAAATAATACGATTTTTAATCAATAATTCAACAGTAATAGTCATGGCAAAATCAGATTTTAATCGACTATTTCGATTATTATGATTATAATCGATTTAGAATATATAATCATAATAATCGAAATAGTCGATTAAAATCTGATTTTGCCATGATTACTACTGCTGAATTATTGATTAAAAATCGTATTATTTTAATCGATTTTTGAAATCAATTTTTTTACATGGGTAGTATCGTTCTTTCTCTCTCTCTTTTCTCTTCTATTATCGTTCGTTCTTCATTATATCGTGTCAAGTGTTGTACGAATAAATCGAACTCACTAACACAAACAATCACAGAATTCACATCTATATCACGTCTTTATTCTAGTTATTAGTTCGTTCTTCGTTCTCCTGTTGTCTCTCTTGTTTTCTTCTCTTCTGTGTCGTTAGTGTCATTGAATAAAACTGAACTCAAGTTCACATACAAAACTTATAAGAAAGAGAAAAGAAAGAGATTGTTTTGGTTTTTTTCGCACGTGATGGACAGTAAATGCCCCTATTTCTGCTGACTCTCGTTCTTATGTTTCACCTCTCAATTCCTACCGGTTTTCAGATTGGTTAGGATGTTTCCTAGTAAAGAAACTGTTAGTTGTTTTTACTGCGAATGGACGGGTCGGAAAGACAAGCTAGTTTCTCATTCCAATGTACATCATCCTGGTTCGAAAGTTCAAATCAAAATTGCTCCAAATGCTCTATCTACTTTCTGGAAGCAACAGTCAGTATCACCTGCTACAGACGAGACAGAAAGGTCAACGAATGTCAACGACGTGAATGAGGATTCTCCTACTATTCGTGAAACACAATTAACAACAACTTCGCCAGTTGCCACACCTGCAACAACGCCCACCATACCTTCCTTCTTCTCACCATCGAATGAGCGTCAACTTCAACAGCAATTATCTTACATGAACGAACAACTCTTGAACTTGAACACTAAGTTTGACAGTTTACTTGTCACAAAAAGTTCAATTTCAACTACCAAGGAAACAAACGAAGGAGAAGAGTTAGATACTATGTTCAATGAGATCAAAAGTTCAGACGATCTGTACAAACTGAAAAATTTTGACATCAATCTGCAGATGGAACTTGTGACCTGTCTACCTTGTTCCAAACATAAAATGCGTGCGCGAAAACAACTTCTATCAACAATAAAATCGTCCTTCGGTATATTCAAGTTTATTGAACAAGATGCAGGCTATAGTCAAACTCAAAAATTTCGTGACTTGAAGAAAAGTATAAGAGCTCATCTCTCGATTAACTTACATGTATGGTGTACGAAAGAAGAGCAAAAGGAAAAAGAAGAAGCCGATGATCTGATGAGAAAGAATGAGAAAGCTGGCTATAATATCGGAAGAATCGCCTTATTTTGTATTCGTACTGGACTAGGTAGTTTAAAGTTCGTTGAAGCTATTAACTTAATCGATTTGTGTGGTGGTGTTCTTGGAAATTACAGGTAAAGCCTCCTCTAATGATTTATTTCTATTTGCACTTCACGTCTGTCCTATTGTTTAGACATAGCCGATATATCTATGATCGGTTGCGAGATGTTATGGCGGAGGAAATGAAATCAAAGATTACTGACTACTTGATTCGTGTGGATCCAGTTATTCAACATCCTGTTTCATTTGGCATTACTTTTGACAAAGTAACCATTTTGAAGCGATCGGTTCAGACAACAGTACTTATTACATTCGTTGATGGTGTTCTAACGCCGATATATTTACAGTCACCACTTTGCAAAGCAGAACTAAGTGGAAAAGAACTAGCTGAGAAGTGAATTCATTGAAATTATCTTGATACTTATTCCTTTTTTTCTATCTTTTTTTTTTCGTGTACAGCTGCATTCGTGTGATGAACTCATTTGGGCTAACTAACGAGATATTGCAGCAGCGGCTCTCTGGCTGCGCCGTTGATGGCGCATACTTACACCTCAATATTGACAAACACCTATCATCTGCCCTTGAAATGAATTCGGAGTGGTTGACTATATCATGGGACTGTGGACACTTGTTGGAACTTGCTATCAATGATGTCAAACGGCAACGAAAATTTGTTTGGATAAACGATTTCATCAAGCTGTGTGCAGCATTGATGAGAAAATATTCGTATGGAAAGCAGTATGAAATACTGCTCGAAACTGCGCAATATCTTGGTGAAGATGTATTAGCTCCAAAGCAATATCACACAACACGTTTTGTTAGTTCCGAAAGACGAGTATATGAAACAATCTTACGAGACTGGAAATCTCTGCACAAATTACAAGAAGAAGAGGATCAACTGAATGCTCTATCATATGGTGATGTTAGTACTAGAACAAGACGTGCTCAAACTGTTTCACATGAAGGAGCCAGTAATATGATTTTTAAGGTGAGTTTCAAGGCAAAGATTTTAATTAAATATTTATCAGTATTCTTTTTGCAGCTTGAGGATATTTCCTCGATCGATTTCGTTGGAAAACTGCTCGGTCTCAACGATATTTACTCTTTGCTCGTTAAATCTTCTATGTCCATTCAAATGGTGAACAGTTTTCCGTGGGAGTACACGTTTACGTTAGAAAAGTTGAAGAAGTCTCTATCTGCATACGCAGAAGAAGTAGAAAAATTATCTAACAATTTGAACAACACACAGGAAATGGAAGGTAATTTATTTCCGAGCCTGTATCTCTCCTTTCAATCTTTTCCGAACTAGACGTGGATGAAGTTCCTCTTACCACGCAAAAGGTTCTTTTGGATAAAGAAGAAGAAGCAGAACAAGGAGAATTTCTTCAGAGAGAAAATGAAGAGTTCGATGAAGCGACACTAACATCAACACATTTATCCTTAAACTACAATGATCTACTTCGTGGAGAATTTCAAGGGAGACCAGTCATTCGCAAAATTGCTGAACACGACTTGGATGATCCTACATTCTACTTGAGAGAGAAGTTAGTTGATTTTTGCCAAGCATTGTGTACTTCGATTGACACTTGATTCAAAGAAGCTCCTGCTATATTTGAAACAATGGCAAATAGCCTTGACGTGGCAGTACTCTACCAAAAAGTCGTTCTGGACGAAAGGGTGGATGTGCTTCAGTATGGACAGTCATCATTTTAAAATCTACTTGATTTTATGAAGAACAGCTCAAAACATATCAAGATTGACAATATTATACTCAATGATCAATACCTGGAGTGGAAGAAACGATGTTTGAGAGAATTGCAAGACAAGGAAAATTGGAACGTTTGGACAAAAGATGATCAAATTTCAACGACAAAAGTGATGAAAACTTTCTTCACGAACAAAGATCTGGCAAATGGTATTGAACAGTTTCTACATTTCTATTCTCTGATGGTTGTCAAAATCAGAAGCGAAGCTGTCTGCGAGAGTGCTGCCTCAATCTTGAAGCAACACATTCGTGGCAATCGAGCTCTGGATCATGAATCCTTAGATAAAGAAGTGATGTTACATTGGAATGCACCACCGCTTCATCTAGCAGATCCATTCATCAAGTCCTGCCTCAACAGCTATTTCTCTCAACTGAAGGATAAACACTGGATTTTCTTCAAAAAAAACACAACAAGATCGTCTATTAAATTAGTTTCACCTGGTTCAATTGTTTTGAACCGCTTGAGAAAAGAACAAGTAGAAAGAATTTCTATGTTGTACGAACAGTAACAAACAGAACAAAATGTTGCCATGTTTTCTTTTTACTTATATTTTGTGTCAAATAAAGTTGGTCTGTGAGTGGCGAAGAAAAAAACAGCTTTGGGGAAATTTTTTGGAGAAAATTTCCGCGGGGGGGGAATTTTTGATTTTTTGAAATGTTCTGCACCTCTGTTCAGAAGAAAAACAGAAAATTAAAAAAAAAAGAAATGTCTTTATCTAAAAAATAGAACGCCAGAATAACTGATACTGAAAAAGAAAAACAAATATCTGACTCAGAAAAATATAATAATATATAGATAATTCATCCTCTGTTCTATTTCTAGAAAAAGTTTTAATTATGTGAAACACATTTGTTTCAAGTAAGATCAAATTAAATAAAGAGAAATTCATTATATAGAGTATTATACAAATCATGATGAACATCAAAAATAAAAACTTACAAAATACTATTTTTTAATCTTCTACGGGCTTGCATGTTTATGTCATAAAAACAAACATTCTGATATTCTGATCAAAGATAAAAACTATTTACATAAAATATGAATAAAAGTTTACTTTATTTGGGTATAGCTAGACGTTGAATTATTTATAGAGTAAGTTATTAATCATTGTGAAATTTCAAATTACAAAATCTTGTTGAAAGAAGGATATAGAATTTTATATTTTACTAAAAGATAAAGTTGAATAGAGATAAACGTTCTATGCAAAAGGAACACAATTTACAATGAATTATTAAATAAAAATCTAAAAATATTATTCGCTAGAAAATATCTCACATGTTAAAATAAAATACAAACATTAGCGAAGAAGATATACTCTTTCTGATGTCTGTTATGGCTAGTATATCTCTTATCAGAAGATATGTCATTTGAAACTTATAAAAACATCATTTATTTATCGAAATGAATATTTTGTTTAATGTTAAACATACGATAATGAAAAGAATTTAGTCAATGATGATGAAAAATAAAAGATATTTAATAATGAGAGAAAAATCTTTAGAACATACTTATAATGGTAGTAATAGTAGCATTAAGAAAGGATACTCTAAGAAAAGTAGAAGTAAACAATAATGAAACAAAGATACATTTCATTATTATCTCTGATAAAATCGAGTAATTTTTTTCATTTTGATAACAGTTTTTTACTAACAAGTTTAAATGACATAGTATATTACAATGCATGTAAATGGAAGCCATGAATAATCTATGAAAATTGTACTACTCATAATTGATAATTCTTTGAGTTGAGCAACGAATTACAAAAAAAATATATTTTTTTTTTAGTTCATCTGAGCAGAAAAAGAATAGAGAGAATGACCAATAGAGGAACTCATCTAATAAGATACAAGAAAGAAATAGTGGTCGCTAAATGTTAGATAGATTCCGATAATGATAATCAAGAATGAGAATTTTATACTCATCATTAAATAAATTTCATAGTTCTAGTTGACCATTTTATAATTAATCTTTTTAATATGAATTACCATATTTACTCTTTGGTATCAAACATATCTTATATGTTATACATTTATGAGAAATCGCGAATCAAATGTTACGAACTAACACTGAAGAATAGAAAACTATTTAGAGCTCATTATTACTTGATCATACTTTTGTACATATAATCTTTATAATTAATTTTTATTAATATGTTTGAGCAGCATCATCTTAATTAGGGATTGAAAGCACTTTTCTAGTGAATATTGAGCTGCACAAATCCATTTAAAAAATGGTTTATTTATTCAGTTAAATTTATTTTTATGAATGAGTTAAAGAAAGAATTGAACTGAGCATATGTTTCAGAAGTAAAGAATTGAAATGAAAAAAAGAAGTCATAATTCATATATAAAGTTCGATTTAACTGAGAATTGATTGTGTTTTAAAAATTGATGAATTAAGATGGATTAAATGTACTATCTTCAAGTAAGTTCATGCTGATGAATATGCACCAAAACATAAGAAATACTGAAGCAAATAATGGTATATGTAAAGCCTAAAAAAAGAATGAAAAAAGTCAAAAGTAATTTTATTATCATCGAAAATCCCTCTTTTTTTTAGTTTCTCATTAATAGAGGTGTTACTTTATTTTTATTTTCTTTATAATAAAGAGTAAAGATAAAGAAATTAAAAAATCTTTATTCTTTATAAAATAAAGAATAAAAAATTTCTTTCCTATCAAAACTTATTCTTTTTTATTTTGTTGAAGTACCTCACAAAAAATGATCATATTATATGATTAAATATAATATGCAATAGCATTTTTCTCACATATCGTTTCATGAGTGGTCCTTATTTTCTGACGGTATTACATATGGAAGTGATGATGGTGGTAAGAAAGAACGCTTGTTAACATATTCTGGTCTTATACAGGGTATTTGCATATGTACCTATTACATGCAAAGATATATCTTTATTCTTTATTTTAACTTTATTTTTACAAATAAAGAATATCTTTATCTTTATTTTTTAAAATAAAGATTATCGTTATTCTTTATAAAATAAAGATAAAGTAAATCTTTATCTTTATTTATAAAGTAAAGGTAAAGTAACACCCCTACTCATTAATATATCTTATTATATGCAAAAAATGATGATTTCTTTTATGAAAATTTTTTATATTTTTGTCATAAAACAATACCAAAAGATTTGTTTCTCAAAAATCTTCTAGCACTCACCAATGTAATCCAACATATTATTGATTCTATATTGGTCCATTTATGTGTCAATACGTAGTACAAAACTAATATCACGATTATCGCAAGAACCAATATATATTTCAACTTATACTAGAATAAAATAAAAGTTTTTATTTAATACTATATGACTCATAAATGTACATACCTGTTTAGGTATGATTTTTCGTTCCAACATGAAATTTAATTTTGTTTTATAATAATGCCAGTAAACCATAATAGCAATTGTAAGAAGTGAGCTTATTATAGTAAATATGATGCTGTTAATCAAAATATTATTTGCAGTTCAATTTAAAAAATTGGTATTATTTGTAAGTTGATTTGAAGTTAAATTAAGAAAATTGGTATTATTTTTGGGTTTGTGTGGGTGTGGTTGTGTGGGTGGGGTGTGGGTGTGGATGTTGGTGTGGGTGTGGGTGTGGGTGTGGGGGGGGGGGGGGGGTGGGGGGGGGGGGGGGTGGGGGGGGGGGGCGGGGGGGGGGCGGGGGGGGGGGTCGGCAGAGGGCTGGGCNAGAGAAGTAGATATCTCTGTTATATTGTCAAAAATATGAAAAATGACTCATGTTAGCACCCATTTCAGTCGGATTCACTCGAACTTTCTCAGCGTTATCGATAAAGAAAAAAAATTTTAATGAGTAAAATTCTGCATTAGTTCACACACTGAATCGGTTTCTTATTGATAACAAAATCTGTTGAGTTCATGGCAGTTTTAATTTTTAACTTGCGAGAGTTATGCCACCATTCACCTTATCAAAGTATTGTACTTAGACTATTCCATTACTATCATATAGGTTCAATTGGGTGTCATAAATTCAGAAAAATCGTTCATCATTTACTCACGTTTTAGGTTGATGAATTGAAAAAGAATGACGAGAGGTTTGACGAAAAATACCGCTGATTTGCAATTACTGTAATTATTGGTTTAATCAGAAACGTTTCATAAAGTAAAGTTATTTCGATTCTGAACATGCATGTGTCTCAGATGTTTTGGTATTGGGCAATAACTATCTTCCAAGAAAATTATTGGGCAATAAGTTTTCAATTATTGGGCAATTGCCTAATGGCCACCCCCCCCCCCCTGGCTACGCCACTGTTATATATATATATGTTTTCAGATTATATACCTATTGTAATGCTTTATAGTTTGATAAAGAGCAGTTCTCGTCAAAAGGTATCTCGAAAGTAGAATATTTTATATTAGTTGAGGGATAAGATATAATGTTCTCATAATTTAAAATAAATTTCAATCTGTTATTAATTTGATGGATAAGAAAAGCAAATCTGAATTAAGATAGAGTACCATCTACAAATTCTCACTGCTGTTGGTTCGATAATTCAAATCATGAGTGTTAGATTAGTAATAAATAAACGACATAGAAACTGGAGGAAGTTAAATGGCGACTTTTTCTTCATTTCAAATGATAAATTTTTTCTTTTTGAAAGATTTATTATGAAGAAGAAGTAGGAATTGAATTAGTACTATTTAATCAAGTTCTTGATCAACTATTACGAATCGATCGAGTATTTCGATAACCACAAGGTCAGTTATTACTTATTGGTTTATCAGGTACAGGCAAAGCAACTCTATGTCGATTTGTTGCATGGCTCAATCAAATTAATTTTGTTCAACTAAAAGTAAAATGCAGAAAAAACTCTTCATACGGATCTTTTTTCTTTAAATTCATTTTTGAATATATAGGTACATAATAAATATACAGCTGCTGATTTTGATGATGATTTACGTCATTTATTACGCCGTTCAGGTTGTAAAGGCGATAAAATCATTTTTCTACTTGATGAATCCAATGTAATGGATAGTAGTTTTCTTGAACGAATAAATACTTTATTAGCTAATGGTGAAATACCTGACTTATTTGAAGGTGATGAATATTCAGCTTTATTAACTTTATGTAAAGAAGGTGCATAGCGACAAGGTCTTATGTTAGATTCTAATGATGAATTATGTAAATGGTTTACTAATAAGAAAAAAGTCTATCACAGTGAAATAAAAAAAATTAATAAAACGTCTATAGAATAAAACAAAATAAAATAATAAAATTTTTATGCCATCAAAGAAAATAATAGGAAAAAACGTCAATACAATAAAAAGAAATAATAAGAAAAACTTCTATGCAATGATTAACTTATACACTTTTATTAACTATTTTTTTTATTTTATTGAATAGACATTTATTTTATTATTTTATTTTATTCTAAAGACATTTTTCTTATTTTTTTTATTAATAAAAAAATAACAAGAAAATCGTCTATAAAATGAAACAAAAAAAAACAGAAAATCTATAGAATAAAATAAAATAATAAGAAACAGCATATACAATAAAAAAACAATCAAAACACATGTATACAATAAAATAAAATAATAAAAAACTCGTCTTTACAGTAAAATTAAAAATAATATGAACGTTTATACAATTAAAACAGTAAAAAAAAATGTCTATAAAATAGACTTACCATAATGAAAAAAAAAATTTAAAGAATAAAACAAAACAAACTAAAAATTTTTCTTCATTGTGTAGAGTTTCTTTGAGATTGAAATGTTCATGATAAAGTTAAATTAATCGAAAACAAAATCATAAAACAATTTATCTAAAAGAAATAGATGATAATTTCGTTTAAAAAATGTAATAAAATAGATGATAATTTATTTTCACAAATCTAAAAAACAGATAATAAAATAAATCAGTTTTAAAAGGTACAAAAATAAATAATAATTTAATTAAAAAAAAAAGTAAAAAAAATACATAATAAATCAATTTATAAGATGTACAAAAATAATATAATGAGAACGATAATCTTATACACAATACTCTTTCGCCCTCCAATTCTAATATATGGAAACATACGCTCCAATGAAATTTTTTTTCTTTCCTTCTCATATGTTTGACTGGCACTGCATTACGATACTACTATTACATTGAACACTACCGTCCTCTCTCTTCGAATCATGACAATCCGATAAAAAAAATTTCTGAGTCATGCGTAAGTCAGCAATTTTCTCATTGGGCCTTTACCAATATCGAGCGAACACCGTATGCAATTGAAAGAGCTCGCTGAGTCCTACTAGGAATCAGTGTAGGTTTTGTTGAAATCGGCCTCTGGACGAATCGTGATAGGTTTTCAGGAAAAAAACTCTCCTTCTACATCTTGTTGGCAGATTTCTAGGCGATATGTACATCGATTTGAGCTCGAAAGGTGTCCATTGGATAGACCTCATCGAGATCTACTTGAAACCAGCGTTAGTTTTGTTGGAATCGGTCACTGGCCGAATCGTGACAGGTTTTCCGGAAGAAAAGCCTTGTTTCGGGCCTTCTTGGCCGACTCCTAGGCGATGAGTGCATCGATTTGTGCTCGAAAGATGTCCATTGGATAGAGCTCATCGAGATCTATTTGGAACCAGTGTTAGTTTTGTTGGAATCGGTCACTGGCCGAATCACGAGAGGTTTTCCGAAAAAAAGCCTTGTTCTTGGCCTTGTTGGCCGATTCCGAAGCGATGAGTGCATCGATTTGCGCTCAAAAGATGTCCATTGGATAGAGCTCATCGAGATCTACTTGGAACCAGTGTTAGTTTTGTTGGAATCGGTCAGTGGCCGAATGGTGACATGTTTTCCCGAAAAAAGCCTTGTTTCGGGCCTTGTAGACTGATTTCTCAGTGATGGGTGCGTCGATTTGAGCTCGAAAGGTATCCATTCGATAGCGCTCATCGAGATCTAATTGGAACCAGTGTTAGTTTTGTTGGAATCGGTCACTGACCGAATCGTGACACGTTTTCCCGAAAAAAGGCTTGTTTCGAGCCTTGTGGGCTGATTCCTCAGTGATGGGTGCATCGATTTGAGCTCAAAAGGTGTCCATTGGATAGAGGTCATCGAGATCTACTTGGAACCAGTGTTAGTTTTGTTGGAATCGGTCTTTGAGCGAATCGCGAGTGTTTTTGGTGTCGTTGTGTTGTTTTTTCTTTTTTTTTCTTGTTTTTTTTGTGGAAATAAGGGGTTTTGGCCAGAAAGGGTTTTGTGTTTTCGGAAAAAAAACTAGTGCGTTGGATAGAGCTCATCGAGTTCTACTTGGAACCAGTGTGATCTTAGTTGGAATCGGGCGTATGGCGAATCGCGAGGGGAAATACTGGAATCCTGACCGGGGATATCCTACGTGAGTTATGGTGATGCTCTATGAATTCTATATCAAGTTTACTGCGTCATTCGCAGCTATTGCAATGCATGATGATGGTTGTGGTAGTATTGTTCAACCACCCTCAGTTATGGAATTAGCTGCTCATTTATATTGAAGTAAGTGATCATATCAATAGGATTTGGGAGGAATGTGAGATCTCTTTGGCATGATTACATGATCGTTTTACTATTGCAGCATGTTGACAATGAAGACTCGATATAACATAAATGGAAAAGGAGAATTTTGGTAGATGATATTATATTAAATGCAAAAATAAAGTCAATAATGAACCATTCATTAACTTTATTTACAACTTTTATGTACCGAATTCTTTACTTAATAACAAAAACGTTTTTCTTCTTATTATATCTATTTTGAAGTCTTTGTTACTCATGCTTTTCTTAATCTTGTAAAAAATTTCTCAGAATAATGATAATAAAAAAGTATTTGATACTCTTCGTTTTCTGTATTAAAAAAAAGCAGATATTGATTAGCGATCTTGAATTGATGAGCATATATGATTCATTCGTTTTCATATTATCTTTCGTAGTTTTATTTTTTGTTTTACATCGTTTATATGTGTTTTTGTCCATTTTCTGGATTTTGACAGTAGGAACAAGTCAAAAATCATCATTACAAATGAATGTTATAATTTGTACACATTAGTAGTTCCAAGTAATATCAATCCGTAGGCCCATTAACGTGACGATGTCGGATGGGAAATTTTCTCGCCTTATCATATCTTGCAGTCATGCATAAAAAAAATTTGATTCAATCGAAATTTTATCTCTATATAAATGTTTAGAAAATATTATATATTCGATACGTTGAACAACTAAAACTTATTCTTGATTATAATCTAAAATATTAATTATTAAAATAAAACTTGTAAAATAATGGTATCATTTATCTAATCAAATATATTCCGTAATATTTTTTTATTCAAGAAAAAAAAAATAACTATATCATAATATCATTATGTATTATTTGTAAAACATGTAATGAAATAACAGATTATCTATACGTTTTTATTCAGATAAATCATTCAACTATCTAATACTATATGAATTCGTTTCAATTTGAAGATTTTTAATTTTAATGCCTTCAATCTTCAAATATAATATCATGAATTTAAAATACTAGTATTTACAATCACATATCATACATATTAAATGCTCTAATTGAATATGTATAATAGAGTAAAAATCAATTTTCATTCAATATACACTCAAGTACGATTTAAAATTAAAAGTAAAATTTTTACAATAGCTTTAAAAACAAAAATATGTAATAGTCACAACATTGAAACATAAGACAAATTTGTCAAAATTTCTGTCAAAAAATTTAAGCTTAGTTCTATTGGACAATAGTTTATCATATTAAAAAAATTGCTTTTTTTAAGACGAAAAGAATTAAGATTTATATTATAAAAAAAATTGTTTCGTAAAAAGAACGGATTCTATGTGTTAAGCACGTTGTTTTTATTTATTTGTCATTTAACTTAATAAGTTCAACTATATATCTGAATCGAATCAGTCAAAGAATAAGTCGATCGATTCTCGATGAATGTCATTTGATTTTATAAAGAAATATTCTTATTATAACAAATACATGTGTAACAACGATAAACTATTACAGCAAGATTATATACACTCTCTTCCGTTCTGTCGTCCACATGGGCGAATAAACTATTTTTTCCGCTGTGTATACACATTTCATTTCATCAGTTTTTATCTACGAATATACATATCCATTATGGCAACAGCTAAGGAACAAGAAATATGTGTTCGTTGTAATCCAAAAGATGATGAACTAGGTCTTTGTCAAAAGTGTTTCAATGAAGAAAAAGAACAACAATTTTATGAAAAACTTGGTCCAAATCGTGAGTAAAAGAAAATATTAAGGAAAAATTTTAAAATTTACTTTTAGAAGGAGTACTTGTTCAAGTGTTACGACAACATAAATGCAAGGCATGTGACAAAGTATTACGATCAACGCACTATGGAGTTTTTAATCGTGATGGTGTAGTAAGATAATAAAAAAACGTTTTTAAAATGTTTATGATTTTGTATTTAGACATATTGTATTGATTGTTTATCAGTTACAACGGATCCGTTGGTACAAGAAGTTTTAATTTATCGAAAAAACTTCGACAAATTCAAGTTGAAAAATATAGTTCAAAAAGAAAAAATAATCGGAAATAACCCAAAAATTAGTATTACAAGACACTATTGATTGATGAACTTTTATTTTCATTTGATTTGTTTTTTTTTTTTTTATTTAATCATTTTCATTATTATATTTGATTCAAAACGTTCATGTTAATCATATTAAAATATTGATTCTATACACACTATAACCATATGTCTTATTCAAATGAAAGATATGAGTAGGGTGATAAATTTTTGAATTAGTTTTCTCCAAATATTTCTATTATTAAGGTTTATACCGTTTATGTTAACGATTCTATATGAAAACCAACAGATGAAAGAAAGAAAAAAATCATATAAACGAAATGTATATAGAGATAAAAACAACACTTAGACTTATTTACGATGAGTGATATTACATAATAAATAACAACTAACTATTAATGCACTAAATGAAACAGAACAAAAGCTAAATGCTTTTTAAAACAAAAGACTATAGGAAAAAAACTTTGCTTGTTTTTGATTATCGACGTACGCAAAAAATTGTCATTTCGTGGCGCGATGATCTCGCGAACGGAATATCAGAAAATATTCGTTGAAGCGTGGAATGAAAGTATCGAGATTGCACTACTTAAATTCATTTTCAGATGTTTTATAGGAGATTCCATTCGTTTGTAGAAAGCGGGACAAAATGACAAATTTGAATGTTTTTTTCAATATGAGATAATTAAAACGAAAACGAAGTGCAAAGTAAGGCGCGAATTTCTTTGAATGACTAATATTTGTCATTTGTTACAGCTTTAAAATCATCTGTTAGCAGATAATGAATCATATATATACTAAAACAGTGAATGCAGTGCTTCGCACCGCATTTCGTAGTCGAGTGAAACTCAAATACCATCTAATTTCATTATGTCTTATATTTCGCGTCCTTCAGTTAGTTCATCTTTCAGGAACAATCGTTAATTTCGCTTGAATCAGTTATTAATATCTGAATAATTCATGCTGCTTAGAAAAAACTCCATCATCGATGCATATTGAATATTTTCAGAGCAAAAAAAAGGTATATCATATGATGAAATTGCGAATATATACAATTGAATAATGTTAAATAATTCACCTTTACTTTACCAAGATCATAAGATATAAAAAGACACTGAACAAATTAGCGACAACTTGGAAATCATATCTCACAGACAAGCACTATCAATATCAACGCCCATTCGACTCACCAACAGTGATAAGCAGTGGAATAATAAAACAAATAGTCCTGTACAATTATTTGCATGTTCTCTTTGTCGTCTACACTAACAAAGACAAATAAGTGAGCACAATACCTACAGGCCGAATAATCAAGTCAGCATGCACTTTAACAACTTCCAAAGTCCTACTTTAAGGTTCTCAACATTTCTTATTACTGTGTACACTCTTGTGTCAATAATATGCCACAAGATAACAGGATTTTTTGATTAATAACATCTTATATAATCTTGCACCATCACTTAATACAGCTTTTTGAACATTACTATTTCACAGCTCGTCATCTCAACTCTTACCATCGTACAAAATCACTTACTACAATCTGAAAATTTTATCGACCGCTAAGTTGATCGGGCTTTCAAACATCATAATAGTTAACAGAGGTCCAACCAGGCCGACTTTTTGCAGGCCTGACCTGCCTGTGCCTGTCATCTTATTTCTTCGGCCTGGCCTGCCTGCCTGTCAGTTTCCTTGGCCTGCCTGCCTGTCAGTTTCCTCGGCCTGCCTGGCCTGACCTGTCAAGGCCTGTCTATTTTTTAAAGCTAACATCATTCTAATAATATGATATAATTAACTATTAGTCTTCATTGAAAGTGCAACAGGTGAATGAAACTAACTAAGATACTATAATTAAAAGTTCTAACGCAAATATTCAAGAAAATGTTTACAATTCTGCACCATACACTAGCGTTCGTTTCTATTCTGTGCACTACAGTTAGGTGTCTCATTTTCCTTTTACTTTAAGATAAATATAAATTATTGGTATTTTATATTTATTTTTCAAATATAAATTATAACAAATTTAATTTATGGTAAATATAAATTATTTTTAAATGATTTATAGTTTAATAAATGAAAACTTAAATAAGAAATTAGGTGAAACTATCGTATTTCTTGCCGATGTTGAATATCAACCATGAGGACAAGGGCGAAAACGCGAAAAAATTGGAGAAAAATTCAACGAAAATAAACTTGTAAAAATATGTACCTATGAACCTATTCAAAACGCGTTGTAGTCTCAGATGCAACGTTTTTCTGTTCAAAAATCTAATGTGCAATAAATACGATCACATCTGCATTTTTTTTGCAAGTTTATTTTCGTTGAGTTTTCCTCCGCTTTTTACGCGACTTTTGGGTTTGTCCGCATGACCGATATCCAATATCAGCAGACAATAGGATGGTTTCATCTAATTTATTAATTAATTTATCATTTATTAAATTATAAATCATTTGAAAATAAATTTGTTATAATTTATATTTATTTTTAAATACAAATTGTGAAAAAGAAATATTTATGTTTAAAAATAAATATAAATAAATATACGTTATTATTTATTCAAAATATTAACTATAAGTTATATTTATTCATAAACATGAATTATGAAAAAAAATATTGATATTTATTTTAAATATAAATTACCGATCATTTAATTTACTCGTGATTTAAATTAAAAATAAATATAAATCGAAACCCCTAATTTTAGTCCATCCAAATTGTACTTCTGATAGAAATCTATGAAATATCAGATCAAGACACTCAAATCATGTTTTGAGAAATATTTTCCTGCGCGTTTTCACTGATCAGTGTTTTTCCTTCGATGCTCTCTTAATATTTTGAACCGCTTAAAAATCTCATGCAAATTGTATGAGAATTAGCGTAATCAACTATTATATTGATGATTAAATTAAAAAGGCTTGATGATCATCAACAGCTGGATATAATGCATTTAATGACATTTGAAATTACGTGGGGACACTCAGTCAGACAAAACTGTTTAAAAAATGCGTTTTTACGCATAAAAATATGTGCTTTTTACGTTTTCAAAAAAAAATCTCTAATGAGCTGATATATCGAGTCTGAACCCAATTAGCTCCGCAAACTGCTTTTGCAAAAATAACAATCGTTTTCTTACCGTTTTTTCAGCGTAAAAGCGCACATTTTAACGCGTTAAAATACGTCCTTGCCTGACTGGTCAGTGTAAACAGGTGTGACAGAGCCAATTCTACCAGTGATCACTTTCACAACCTTGTGCGATAGTTTTGCGTAGAAAAATATTATTTTAGTGGTAGAGTTTCATCACCTATCAAGTTCCTCTTTTGTGTTGAAAGCCTCTTCATATTGGTAGTAGATTTGATTGTTTTCATTTATATTCAATATTTATTCTCAAGCGTTTATCTAATTGGCCATATTGAATAGCCATCTTTGAAAAATACTCAACTGAATCTGTTTTCTAGAACTAAATTCAATTTAAAAAATTAAAGTTTTATTTCAAAAAAAATACAGACAGGCCAGGCGGCCTGGCATTTTTAAGCGGCCTGGTTGGGGCTCTGATAGTTAAGTAATCATTAATTTCAGAAAATCACTCTTATTATGAGAAAACCAAGCACAACTATTCCGGTCAGTTTCCACAAGCTGCATAAATGTATTTCATCATCTGTATTATTTTAATCACCATCTTCACAATGATACATTTATTCAACACAACATTATTCAATTAACCCCCCCCCCCCCCCATATTAGAAGCTCCCCGGGGCTTCTAATATGTCAACCGTCTGAAGTTTTCGGAGGGGGCTTCTATTAAGTCCCAAAAAAATTCAATAGATTGTGACAGCAAAAACGGTTTGAAAGGTTTTTAGAGATTTTCAAGGTTTTTATGAGTTTTCCAGAAGATTTTTGACGGTATTTCCAGATGTTAGCACAGCTGGATAGGAGTCAGCCAATTTTTTACCTTAAAATCGAAAAATTTTAGCAGTTTGTTACAAAGCCCTAGCTTTGTAACGAAGATTTATTTTCGTTAAAATCTTCTTTGGTTCGATTCAGGCGATTCAATACTTTATTCAAATTATGTTCTTCTACTACTATAACAATCTTTATTTTTCCTCCCTATATAACAATAAATATGATGAATGATGAATAACGACAGCAACAACGATGAAATTCCATTCTTTTTTTTCCACACACATATATATTAACACATTAGAAAGCGAGAGAGAGAGATACAAGTAAAACACAAGGAGAGATGAATATGTATGTTCTACTCCAGCCTAGACCGTTTTATATAATAAAGATGACGACCAACATCTTTTAAAAAATGCCCTTAATTTAGAATAGAAGAAAAGACTGAGAATATGTTGAAATTGTCACGGTCGGATAGGAAAGTAGAAGACAAAGAGGGAGAGAGATAGAAGAGAAGAAAAGGAAAGATTTATCGACTAATGTATGTACAGTGAATAAAGTATATCCAAATGATGATGTATACACACAAGTTGAAGAAAAGAATAAGAAAAAAAAAAAAAAGATGTATGTTAGAGTGCTCTCTAACACAGTTTTAGGACAAAAATTCGAAAAAAGATCTCGAAAATTTGTAAAATGTTTTTGGAAAAATCAGGGGCTTCTAATACGTCAAACATGTTGCTCATCTCAGAGGGGGCTTCTATTATGGGGGGGGGGGGGGGG